CCCTAACCTACTTTGATGTTTACCAGGCAAACCAGGAAACTGAAAACAGTGCTACTACTTTCTCTTGTGACTGTATTTAGCTAATGCACAATGTGCTCACCTTTATATAAATGAATGAATGAATGACAGTGATACAGCAATCTCTCTGTTGATCACAGCATTCTCTGACGTGCCAGGTCCAGGGAAAGGGAAAGAAGGGATTTTCTGAAAGTGGTCTAAGTGCTTTTTTTATGATCATTGTAAATATTTCACTGAAGAAGATGAATGAATTGTGAAAAGTATTTATCGCAATTTAAAATGCTTGTGGCGTTAAAGTGAAATCCTAGTGGGCTGGCGAATGGGGTGACATTTTTCCCATGCCAGTGCAGGTCAATGAGGGTTTGATGAATCTCATTCACACTTGTGATTTATTATTCACCAAATTGTGCTTTAGTTACTGACACACACCCCCACACACGTTTACTTCTATCTCTGTGAGGCCACTTGTTGACATAATACATTTCCTAGCCCCATACCCTAATACTACCATCAGAACTAAATGCCTAACCATAACCCTCACCTGAATAAGACAGAACAGGGAGAGTTATCGAGATAGAAGTAGTTCCCTTAATCTAAACCTAAATTTAACCTGGACCTTAAAACCAAGTCTTAACCTTCAAAAAGCTCTTTGACGTTGTGAGCACCAGTCAAAATGTCCTCATAATGATGGCATGAAAAACATTGGTCCACACAATGTAATAAAGACACACACATGTGATACTGTATGTCTGACACCCAGGCTATCATTTAATAGTTAAACTGTGTATTGATTATAGGCATGACTTTCAGTATTGTTGTAGTTAATAAGCTCTCACTTGAAAAAAACAAAAAAATGTGCTGTTATTGAAATAACCAAAGACATACTTTTTATACCAAACACCAAACTGAAGTGACTTTTCAAACTAAAGTAACTCCTGGCAATTGTAAACATTTTAAAGAAGCCATGTTGTATAAAGTGCATATAAATAGCTGTAAACACTTGTTTTCACTCTAACCAGAGCTGTCTCTGTTTGCACAGCAGATAAAGCAATGTCGCTGGAGTTGTCTGGAACATGTGGTGAAAAGGACGACAGACATGTCAGAGATGTGGAACACCTGGAACTATAAACTAGGACCAAGCTGGACAGGCTGGGACATCTAGTCACCACAGACCCACTGTGTGTCTCAGGTAGACTCTAGTTCGCAGGCCTAATCTGCCTGAGGTGCTACCAGGTGACATCACTCTTACAAAACTAATGAATTTCTGGATCATCCCCCTTATAATCTAGTAGGTTTTCTCATTTCAGTGTGTTATACGTGGTATAACTTCACAGGCCTATGTCCATTATGCTTTGCTTTTCCACTGTATTTCTCCCAGTGGGTCTCTGTTTAGCTGAGGGCACAGCTGCAGTGCTAATAGTTTGTGTGAAGATGCTAACATTTAACCAGGCACCTCCATGAGCACCTCAAACTTGATTTTAGGGTATTACTTTACAATAGGGTACACATAAATTTGTGTAGTTACTAGGGGATGAATGTGGAGCAAATCAGCAGCGATCTGTCATTTATGTGCCCCTTCAAGTAAAGTGAGTACCGAGTAGTTATTCAGTTTTACTTCACTAAACTTCATGATTAACTCACCACAACATACTGTTTATTTCCCCATCAATTAAAGAGAATTACACAGAGTATTCACTAAGTAGGCCTGCTTCATTGTTATCTTCACAATTACTGTTTCCATAAAAGCAAATCACAGCAGGAGGATTCTAAACGAGTCTTTTAATCAAAACACCACAGACAGTATAGTATTATTCACGTCCATCTACATGCTAGTGTACTGCATCACTGGACGTGCTTACACCTTACAAATAAATGTAATAAACATAGTTCATAACATTTTCAGAACATACACTTGCCAGCCACTTTATTAGGCACACCTGTACAATTCGATGCAATACTTTCCACATTAATATCCGTTTATGAAGCTCAAAATGTTTCAGTTTTTGGTGAAATTGTCTAAATTATGTGGTTATTGTTGTTTTGGACGGCATTACATCCAGTGGTGTTCTTAATACTCCGACCCTCTCATGTATGTAGATGGGGAGGACAAAAATATAGAAACACCTTTAACGCAGATGTTAAGGCAGAGGTGTTGCATTGAACTGCATACAGTTGTACCTAATCAAGTGGCCAGTGAGTGTATATATGTGTGTGGTTACATTGGAACTTGTCTGCACCTATTTAACCACATATCTCATATCACATGTCTTACCTGACACATTGTGCCATGGTTGTCTACTGATTCAGCTGTAACGTTAACACACCCAGGAGAGAGGAACAGAAACAAGCCAGACATCATACGGGTCCTGGAGTTGAAACATCTATGCCAAGGTAATATTTCCACTGCTTGTTTGGCCAAGCAACTCTGGTGACCCTTTCTGGATCCTGGGAGGAAAAGGCCAGATAGAGGAGGTGCAAACCGATCACTTGGCTGACAACTGGCTTTTCTCTGTTCCTCTCTTCTGGTGTGTAGGGCTGGTAACGTTACAGCTGAGATCAGTGACACATGACAAATCTGTTAAGAGAAATATGTGGGTAGATTGGCTCAGACCTGTTCATGTACCAGTGTAACAATAGTACACTCTCTCTAATATGTAAATACGTAATAAGCTTTATACATATAGTTTGTGTTTACTCAATCTTTCAGCTGTAATGAACTATATTTATTACATTTATTTGCAACTATATATGTTGTGTTTTAATTTAAATACTTTTTAAGAATCCTCCTGCTGTGATTTGCTTTTAGGGAAACAGCACTTGTGAAGATAATAATGAAGTACTCCTGTAAATATTCTGTGTAATACTCTTTGCTTGATGAGGAAATAAATGGTATGCAACGATGAGGTAATATTGAAGTAGAAGGGACTTCTGAGTAACTGCTTGACAGAATGCGTCATTGTCTAAGGGAGACACAAGCTGTACAGGTAATGGAGAGGGGAAGGGTCACATAACCACAGAGAATACAGAGGGATTACTTTGTAGGCTAAATAATCAGTATGATGTACGAGTATTTAAGGGTTCACAAAAGTAACATGTTTAAGTAATGAGCAATGAAAGAGTAGTTAATAATTTGTGTCCTACAGTGTTTGAGTGGCAGGTAATGAAGAACAAGTCATGAAGAAAGTGGGGAGTATGATCACCTTAAACATAATTATGAACTAATCATTAATTATTCTTTGATATAGTATCTCTCAGTTGGATGTCTAGTAACTAATCATTATTTAATATAGTCTTACGGTACATTAGACGTTATTATGAAGTACTTAGGAATGACGCAGATTGATCCTCACTTGTTCCCTAGTAACTACACATTTTTGTGTATTGTATTGTAAAGTGTTACAGATTTTAGTACCACCTCCTGAGGGGTGCCAACGTTTACCTTCTGGAACACGTCCACCGTGGGCCTTGTTACGTTTCAGTAGGTTCCTACAGTGACAAAACCCGAACCGATACCTCTGGCCTGTGCTGGCTCCATAAGAAAAAGATCAAATGTCCACAGCTACAGTAGGATGGACTGATGGAAATCTGGTTGAATGTGGATTGTAATAGATGGAAGAAGAAGAAAAGTAACCCTCCAAACTAATTAGAAAGTAGTTAAGACCAAACACACACAAACCAGCTCAACATTTGGATCAGAATTTTTTTATTTCATGATTTTTTTTCCACCATAAAGCCCAGAGGGCACTTTAAAAATCCAGCTGAGCGCTCCAAAGGCGTATTTATGGAAAAATAATCTTGTAGCCTTTATCTTTGTCCTGTGCCCTCCTTTCATTCTGTGGCCAGAGATGATTGCATTGACCGATGTTGCCTCAGACTAGGGGTTCAGTCTGATAAATGACTCTGTCCATCATTGGAGGAGGGGAGAAAAGGCAAGAGAGATAACCCGGTTGTCTGTCATCCTTTGTCCAAGTGCAGAAAGGAGATTGGATATTGACCCGAGGTTGTCTTCTCCAAGTCACAACATTTGAAGACTCTGTCATGGAATGACACTATAAACCAAATACTGAGTTTCTCTGCAGTCATATGTATACATGTTCAAACTTAAACCCCTTAATTTTTTGCATGATGCAGTTTTCAAAAATGAAATGTTGTGTATCATTATCACCAGTCAGCGTCTTGTAGAAACTACTGCCCTGTGGTTGGCTTGGTGAACTGTAACTCCCCCTTTACTTCCTTGTTGTAATAACTGGAATCTTTGCCCTGCTCTAGGAAGCCTTACTGCTGTACATCTCCAGCCTGTAACAGTATAACAGCTGCTTTAACAACTGCAGTCGAGCACAGACAACCTAGCAGCTATCCAAGCCTACTTTAAGCTTTTCAAATCATGGTGTGCCTGCTCCTCTTCATCATACATTTACTGTTTTTGGGGTGAAGCTGCTTCTCTGTACCATCATTTATCTCCCAGCTTTACACCTGTTCTGGCCTGTGGCTGCGTTCAGTCACCCTTTTCCCCCCCTTCACTCTGTGTCTACTACTTATGTGTCTGTCCTTCTTGTGCCCTGTCATTATAGACAGTCTCTGCACAGCGCCACCTGGCCGTAGCGGAAGTCCCTACAGGGGCAAAGACGTCTGTATTTGGGGGAGTGCCCTGCGCAGCTGAAGAGGAGGGGTTCCCGCTGGAGGCTGCACTCCCGCCGCACCACAGAGAAGCCAGGAAGGATATGGTTGATCTCGGAGTCTACCACGTCGCACTGCACCTCCAACCTGAAGGGTCAAACAGAGGAGCAGAGGTAAAATAAGAGTTCACTGGGTTTAGTCACAGGAGAAATGTTCCTGTTGTGTTCTTCAGAGGATAAATTAGAAACACTGAAAACACAAGTACAGTAATTACAAGCTAGTTATTTTTATGAGACAAGTAACAGGAGCATAGAAATAGCATAACCTCTTAAATGGAAAGCAGAGCCATGGAAAGACAGAAATCTCATCACTTTTTTAATATTACAAATGCCAATTTGAAAAGAGAATGAAGGAATTTAGTGGAGAAGCGACAAGGAAGTTGGAAAATCTGCCAGGCAGGTGTGAGGCATCAGAGTGAGAAAGATAACAGACATGAGCTGCAAGGAAGAGTAACAGAACAGTAACAAAGAAGCAGAACTATAAACCAAGACAGAAAAAAGGAAACAAAAGACATGGAGGATGAAACAAGAGCAAAGAATAAGAGTTGGAAGTGAGAGCAGTAAGAAGGGGGAAGTTTGGAGGAGAGACTCAAACAGCAGCGGGTTTTCAGTCTCAGAGCTCCAAAAAAAAAAAAAAAGTCTAAAATAGGTTGCAATGGTAAGAGAGTCTCACAATATGATAAGAGTCTCAGAAAATCACAGTTTCACACAATTATTACCAGCCACAACAATCCTCATTAGAATGAAGAGGTTTTTTTTAATTGCAGGTGCAGAGCTAGATTGACCCTAAAGAATAAACATTATAAACATGTTAAAAGAGCATATAACATGTTATATAACTAGAGTGTGTTAGTTTGAATAGAAGTATTCATATTCTTGATTTAAGTAAAAGTCCTGCACTGAAAATGTTAAGTGTTACACTACATTTACACTATACTGTTATATTGTTGTATTTGGCTGAGGTGGAGCTCTGCTGAACTAGTTTGTATCCGAGTATCAACTATTGATTTTCATTAGAGATTAATCTGCTGATTATTTCCTCCATTAATCAACTGATTGGTTTCTAAAACTTATAACAGTAGTGAGAAAGGTTGTTAGAGTGCTCATGTGTGCCTATACAGCTGGTGGATAGCTTGGTGGTTAACACCACTGACTTTGGTATGGCAAATTTGATTCACTGTCAGGCCACAGCGTCAGCTTAGGCCCTTAATGCTTCCGCCTAGTGAGGTACTACACAAACACTATGGCAAGGAGGAGTCAGGACGCCAGGGAAAGGGGGACATATCATCCTCCCCCCAATCGGAGATTGAAGATCACAAAATTCGGTTTTTCTAGGATCATTAGGCTCATGACTAAGGTGAAGTAGTGAGAAAGGCATAATGAAGGCTAGTAGTGAGGAAAGTGTAGGG